TACTCCGCAAGCTTCAGCAGGCGGCGTTCCGCGACGACCGTGGGATGATGCAAGTTCACGCTAGCATGGAGAACTATTTTGGAGAGTCCATGGGCAACGCGCAGTCCCTTTCAACAGTTGGCGACTTCGCAAAGTCCCAGAGCCAGCACTTGAGTATGGAACTATACGAGTCGCGAGTTGCTTCCCTCCAACGTTTCGTGGCCATGTGTGTGATGTTCCATCAAACAGGAAAGCAAGTGCAAGACTTCTTCCCCAAGTATACGTTCGGGTTGATGAACTACAACATGGAACGCACCCACAGCATCATGCGCATTGCCACCACGGCAAGTCCTGTCAGCGGCGACGCCGTGCGTGGCCAGATGGAACGATTGCGTTTGCGTGCCCGGTACCAGAGCGCTGTACATGTGATTGAAGGAGCCTGGGCAACAGCCGACATGCAACACATGAAAAGACTGAAAGAGCAGTGGCGACAGAACGGCCGCCGCCGAAAGAGTGCCTTGGACGTGAGCCTTAGCAGTCGCCTCTCCCTGCAAAACAGCACAGAGTTCGGTCAGCGGTCTTCTTCCGGATTGGACGACAGCCAAAGTAGCGGTCGGTCCTTGCTTGCCACTGTTGCTGCAGGAGCCGCTCAAGAACGAGCCGCTGAAGAAGGGGGCAAGATGTCCGACAGCGATTCCGACATCAGCTGTTAAGCAATGGGCAGCCTGACTGTGCCTTGCTGACTGAGAAAGCAAGATCCTCGCCTCTTTCTAAAAAAGACCTTACCGCATCATCCCTTGCATGCTTCCGTCCGAAGTCTTCGTTCCCTCAGGCCTCAACAGGACGGCGACAAATCCAATGCACGCTCTTCACTCCTCACTCGAAACAATGCCAACATTAGAAAGCCCAAATACTAGCATGCTAGCTCCGGTAGGAGAGTACCACTAACAGTTTCATTTGATCCCCAATTACACCACTAGCTAGCTTGTGTTGTTCTTGTGATGGGACAACCACCGTTTCGTTGGATTGTCACACGGTGGCAGACTGACTCAGATCTCTCAATACAGACGAAGCAAAATTCCATGGTCCAAAAGCATGTTGGTGGCATCCAGCAATCAGGAAACCAAAACAGTGGGCTGCTTTGGGTTGATTGCTGGCTCCTTCAGCCACATACAGGGTGGCGGGCCAGACTGGTCACTCCAGCAGACATTATGCCCTGCTGGCTTGGAGTCTTGGCTTCAAGAATCGAAGATTCCCTGCCACCGCCTCAGCTGGGGCTGGGGGCAACAGTAACTATGCAGCTAGTAAAACACCTGCACAAGTATTTGCCTTGGTAGGTGAATTCTAAGGAGATAGTCCCCCAATCCCCTCAGGGAATTGGGGTAACCAAATTAGTGCTACTAGCTTTTAGAGCCAATAGCAGCCGACGCTGCTCAAAGAGCAAGAATCGAGCCATAGTTACTGGAGGCGGCCAGCCAGCACAGCTGGAAAAAAGGGGGGGGCGGGAATGCCGTGGGAAATTGCACGCGGGCATCCCCAGTCAAGGAATACAAACGGACAGGTCGTGAAGCGACCAACCGTTTGCGCAGCGAAAGAAACGCTGCATCGTGTAAATCACAGTTTGTACCGTGGAAACCCCAGGAAGGAAAGTTTACACGCGCATAACTCGAGAACAGATAGAATCTGTACGAAATAGGTAAGTAGTAGCGCAATAACGCTGCTCAATGGTGGAAAGCGATTGCAAGAACGGAAAGCGTCTCACACGAACTGTCCTAGCTGTTTCACAGGTGATCCAGGAAGGACAGAGTAACCGTAGCAAGATGAATCAAGCCCAGTTGGAAGCCCATATAGTGGACTTGGAGTACGGTTTGGAGGCGACACTTGGTCTGCTGGCAGCGGCGTTGGGGAGCAAGTTCGCAGCGGTGGAGAGTACCTACTCCCAGTGGCGCAAACGGTTGCCGCTCGGCAACCTCAGCGATGAGCATCGAGCCATGTTCATGGAGAAACTCGGCGTGACTGAGATGCAGTTGGCAGAACTGGAAGGCAAGTTCAAGCTTGCCAATCCCAAGTACAACGAGACGGGTACGACGCGGGAGCTCGTCGTGCACGGATGGCGACTCCCAGGAAGGCAGCCAAAGAGGCATTGGCCAACAACACACTTCGGTGCGAAAAGGGGACAGCTCGGGCAACTCAGAATGTAATGAATGCCACGGTTGACCTTGTCCAATCCACCCTGCACGACGCAGACCCGCGGTACAACCGCACGGAGGCCGTGAAGGTGGTCACAGGCTGCCTGTTGCAGGCGACGAGCGGCAGCAAACGTGAGGCGAAAGCGGCCTTCCAGCCTAAACGCGTTACGCGTCGTCGCAACGACAAACCGTAAGCATGGTAGGGCGAGCGGCAAGAAACCGGGCAAGTCCCACACATAAACAAACGAAAAACTCGTTGCCCACGACGATATAGTCCGTGGGAGATCAGGAATAAACTTATAGACCCAGTTTAAATTATAGCCGAGGCAAAGCCTGGAGTCGGTCAAAGGCCGCGTTTTGCCGTCTGGATAGAATGGCCACATTGCGGAAATACATGACAAATGACATGGATTTCCAACGGAGGATCCATTGGATGTCACGGTCAGAAAATCCCATGATGTGCAGGATGACGCAGGCACCAACACGAAGGGAGTGCGAGCTCCACTTGCTGAGGTCAGCTTTATCATGGAGTGGGTGCAAATTGTACACCGCTGCAGCCAGACGACGCATAAACTTCTCAATGGCCGAGCCATCAACAAGCTTAGCGCGTCGGCTTTTGGGGTCCCAGTAGACAGAGAGTGGAGTGGAGGCAGGCGACAAACCCGGGTGCATCACCTGGACTTGGGCAAACCGTACCAGGGACCGATAGGTGGAAGAAACAAAACAGAGGCCCAAAGGATTGGGGTTTCGTTCATATAGTTTTTCCTCCCCATTTTCCCCATTTTTCTGGGTGCGGAATTTCACATACATCTGTGACAGCCGCAGGAGGGGCAGAGTAATAATAGCCATCCCAATAAGACGCACACCACATAGGCCAACAGCCCGAATGTCGTTGGGAATTACAGCCCGAGTTTTGCACTCGGGTCCAGTCCGCCCATTGCCATGTGGAGATAGAACATTGGTTTTGCCGGCAGGCTGAGCCCATTCAGTAAGTCGATACCCAGTACACAGTCCCTGCTCAAAGCCATCAGTGAGGCAGCATACCAAGCTGGTAATAGGAAACTTGGCGGCCACCTTGCAGGCAAGGGCGTGCATGCGGTGGTCATAGGGCTCTCTGCGATCAGCCATAGTCTCATACCTCCTGATATCACGCATGACACCAGACAGATATGCACCCATGGTTCGGTCTCCCAATTTGTCCTTCCTGTAGTCCTGTTGCGTGAAGCAGCGGATCAGAGAGGAGGCAGCCAAAAGGTACTGGTCAATGGTCGATGCCTTGATGGACTTGCATTGGATGGAGTGGCCACTGCTGAGGTGGACAGCATACATGGCAAACTGGTACTGGCCACGCACAGCCCAATTTGGATCCTCC